TATTATTCAAATTACTACACATATTATTATAATCTTATTAACATCATAGAAAAGGAGAAGAGATCATGATAAGGACAATACATGTTTGCTGATAGAAGAAAGAAAGAAGAATAAAACATACGAGAGCACCCGCCGACCACCCACCTACAAAGTCTGAAAAAACATGCCTACAACTCAATTTGTGTCGTGAGGAAAACCAGCCCTGCAACAGTCCATTCCTACAGTTGAAGCAATCAGAGTTTTCTTTTTTTCTAGTAGAGATTTTACGGCGCTCGCAACTGCATAAGGTCATATATGAGCGCCAGAAGATTAGAGGTGTTACAAGAGAGTAGTAACAAACATAAAAAAGAAAGAGGGGGAGATAAGGACGATAGATGTTTGGTAGGAAAGAAGGAGCAAACCACACCAGAGCACCCGCCAACCACCCACTGAAGCAATCAAAACAACCAAGACTACACAAAAGATATAGAATCTAGACTATTTTAAAATTAAGAAGCACAAAACCAATATATATATTATTATAATAAGATTTAATACCTCAAGATTCTTGTATAAAAATATTGAGCATGTCCTGAGTCAGATAATATAATAGCAGGGGCAGGAGTGAAAAAAGCAGTTTTATCGTCTGCGGCCACACCATAAACTGGCCAGACTTTGTTCTCGAATAGAACCCTGTGTGTTCTTTGAATACAAAAATAATTTTTCAACATTGCATGATATTTTAATCTTTTTTACTAGACATGATATTTAATAAGTTGTCTTCTTTGATTATAAAGTGAGGCACAGCACTTTAAAAGCCCGCTACAAGACACCTGACTGGTCCAGAAACAAACAACATTATTCGAAAGATGGGGGAGTAAAAATGTAATCCCCGTAGAATTTGAGCCCTTTTTATTTCACTGAATTGGCCAAGTTCATACACACACCCTCCACAGTGCTAGACCTTTTAAGATCCCAGGATAGTTGTAAGAACTGATGAAATGAGAGACACACACACAACGGATCTAATCATATATTATTCCCTTCATGCACAATTTAATTTTAATTTTCAAAACACATGCACCAGTCACATGATCATAAAAAATATTTTTCACTGACTGGAGAATACAACTTGTTCTAAGATTGGGATTTCATCATGATCATACTCTTGCACTTACAGTTTTATAATTTATAGTATCCGTTGTAATAGAATTTTAAAAAGTGTCTTGGTATTACCCTATTAATTCAAGAGGTATTCTCAAAGCAATCACCTCTAGAACATCACTTGATTTTTTAAAGAATTTCATTAATTTTGAGCATGTAGATCTATAGAAAAATAATTTAAATGAACGATGAGTTCAAATAAAAAGAAACTCAACATGACATGACAAATAAACAGAAGAGAGCTGTGGGATGAAATACTTTCTTTTTTTTTCTATTTTGGCCAGCAAATATTAGAATCGGTAAATTTTTACTTTCAACTCCCGCACACAGATGCGCTGCTTCGGGGGTCAAACTGCACTCTTCTTTTCTCCCCCTTCCAAAAACATGGAACTAGACCTAGAATAAGAAAGACTTTAACTAACATTATAAGACAGTACAAGTTCTTCTTTTGTGCTTTGTCTCTTCTTCCGCGATCTTTCCCTAGTCTTTCTCCGAGAGCTGTCTTGCACTTTGCATGAAACTTTCAGACGCACACAAACACACTGACACGCACGCACTTGAGCAACAAAAAAGAAGGTAGTCTAGCATTTCATTTTAATTCATTATTTCGACAAGAACTTGAGATTAAACTGAGACTTAGGATTAGAAGAAGGTCTAGAATCTAGCCTAAGAAAGAGCAATGCAAGTTCACTTCTCTCACTCCCCCTGCCGACGATCTAGACTCTGTCTCTCTGCATCCCCATCATTCCACCACAATGCCAATCCTTGACGCCTTTGTTATGAGGACAGACTTATCAGGATGACGTGGCATTATCTAAATTTTAGTATAGAATCAAGAAGTATATGGTTTAGGTTTCAGATCTAAAAAATTGTTTTTAAGTTTTAAATAATGGACTCTCCCAATCGTGTTATTAATATTAATCCCTTTCCCCAGTGAGTGAAGAAAGACAATCGATACTCACCCACAGAAGGATCAGGAATATGGTCAGAACGACTTTCAAGCAGAATAATTTCTGGTCGGTCCTCATTGTGAAAATTTGTTTCGTCGTCTAAATGAATCCAATTCGAATCATTCTATACTCTATCCTACCAAAGGGAAAGAGTTTAGGGAACAGGTTTACAAAACAAAACACACTACAACACACACAGTCCGACCATCTAGCCTTCGATGGTTTGTTGTGAACTCTACTTCCGTATGACCTCGTTTTCAATGGCTTATAAAGGGGGCGTTATCATCCTTTCCGGAAATGAAATTTGCCCGGCAACCAGGCTTGTTTTCAAATTATGCACGTTGCACACAGACATGATGTAGTATCATCTACGCCTAGTACGATGCACTCATTTGGTTCAGGCAGTGCACCGCTATATGAATAATATCCAATTATGTTTTGTCCTTTATAATTTGTTTATCTATCTCAATCTGTCCTCAGTTCCTTTTTTCATTATCAATTTGTCTCTTTGCATGTGTTAAAACATGTATTAGATCTAGATCTAGATTCTAGATCTAGAAGATCTGACTATAATCTATAGCTGATGGATGTTGAACTTAATAGTAAATTATAGCCCACAAACGTTGTCACTTATGTCAGTTTTGTCTATTCACTGTTGGTGCAGCTCACGTTCAGCATCACGACAAAAATCAGACTTTAAACCTTATACCAACTACTGACATTCAAGTAAAGATAAAAACGCATTGGTAGCCTAGAGACAAGCATGCCCCCTCACACGTAACATACATTGCATAGACACACACATACACGTAGAAAGAGAGACTGAGAGAGAGCAGTTGCTGTTTTACTTCTTAACAGACAATAGGCCACACTATGTTTCTAATTAGAGCGATTTATAATCCACAAACGCGAAAGGTATCATGAACATGAATTAACAGATCTAATTCTTTTCACCACATTGTGCTAAAAAGAGGGGGAAGGGGGATGATTTAAAATGTAGGAGGTTAAGGGGGAAAAAAGAACAAATCCGAGGGGCTAGTGTCTGTCAGTGTGCTTCTTCCTGATGACACTGTGACCCTGAAGATTTGTGGACTGCAGCAAATTTTGGAAAATGCCGTCTACCCCTTTTTGGCGTTTTTGCCAGTCGCTGGTCAGGTATAGGCCTATTATCGATCTAGCAAAGAAAACGGAAGCGAATCAATATACCGTCTTCTTTGGACAATTCATAGATTTCAGATACTGAGACGGAAAACTGACAAGCGAAAATAACTCTTGAAATGTGTGATTAAACCGAAGGATCTTATTATACATTGTCTATTTTAACGTCTATGGATGAAAACGACTTAAAGGTTATGTTTTAACTGAGTAGAAGTTTTCAGAATTTAGGCCAACTTTTTAAAACAGTAGGGCGAAATGCAAATAATTATGGACACATTGTGAATACAATGAAGCTGCCCAATATAACATTAAATCTCTCTCCTGACCTGCGAAGACCTTCTTTGACGGCTCTCTCTGGGCGTTTATCAAGCTGGACGAAACCTCCACGTCTATTTGCCCGTACGGATCAGTGACCAGATGCATGAAGGGAGGTAACTCTGAAATCTTTTTATTTCTCCCTGACTCCCTCTGTCTCTTCATTCTTCCGATTCCCGACTTTGGAAATAGGCTACTACTTTGGATGGAATTCTTCTCGGACCCGTGCCCTACGCAAATCCTTTCTGCATACCCTGAGATTGCTGCTGTGCAGACGCATTTTTTGGAGCAAGCTTGGAAAGTTAGATAGATCTAGGTGAATTACTGAATAGAATATTGGTCCAGGTCCTCAGCATCAATCAATCTAACCCTCACACTCACAGCAGACAATGCGCTAATTGCACCAAAGGTGATAACGAAAGTAGGAGAGTCGATGATTATTATATATTAGTGACAATCAATAGTCAATACTGTTGTAGTCAAAGACGGTCTCTGCTGTAGATCTAGTCTGTACTACTACAAATCAGTGCCTTTCACCCCTGGCAGGGCATGGGCCAGGGGCCAATTCATGATTTATGACTTAATGTAATGGAGTCACTAAGCTTTTAAAAGGCTAAGGTGGCCGTCTAAGTCTAAGACAGGTATTGCTTGGTGTGATAGGGGTTGTGTGTTAAAATATGGTGGCCGCGGCCGTGTTGGACAGGTGCCTGTTTTACACCGTTAAATTATATAGAAAAACGCAAGGGGGGAAATGGAAAGTGGCCGTTTGTACAGGTGGTCGTCTATGTCTTATAGAGGTGGCCGTCAGGGCAAGTTTGACTGAATATGAAAGTGGTCTTGTAAATTTATGCTCCTGATCATTTTTTATCTCTCAGTATATATAGGTTTCTCTAGTATGGGTTGAATGGTGTGGAATCCTTTGTTGTCAGTTACTGTATAAATACTGGAAATTTTTACAAAAAAGAATTTGTAGGCTATTGCAAAAAATAAAATTATATATATAATATTATATCATGTTTGATTATAGTGAAATGGGAATGTTGTCAATGTATTTTCTTTAGATACTGTTCGAGTTTTGTGTATTACAGTAGTTTGTTTCTTTCTTCAATCTCCAATGCTAATGAAAAAGTTTCTTTTCTTCACAGATTTCTGTTGGCTTTTCATGGACTTCAGGCTCAGAACTGTGCACTGAAAACAAAGTGAAACTGAGATCATGGCTTGTGTGCGGACATTGGTTCTTCAACGTTGTACCTGTGCAACAAGACTATGTGTAACTAGTTACCTGTCCAAACAAAGTGTTCCAAATACAGGATGCACGAGACTCAGAAGTTGGATTCCAAGTCCTATGTTAAGGCATTCTATTTCCTCTGTTTGCCATGGGAATAGCTCTGTTGTGATCAGACAAAGTGTTCATGCGTCTCTTTCTTGGTCCAGACAAAAGTGGAGTAGGTATAATCATCCTCCACAACTTGGAGGAGCTCGTTTCTTCAGTGGGCAAAAGTGTAGGCATCTGTGTCTGCATAAGACGGAATCTCTGCCGAATTCGACAGTGGAAGACGTAGACCCTGACCACACAACGCAGGAGAACTCGACAAAAGAGCAACATGTCCCTGTGATGGTGAACGAAGTCCTGCAAGCCCTGCAGCCATCTGATGGCCAGGTGGGTGTGCGATTTTTTTTTGTTATTCAGTAAAAGTTTTACGGCACTTGCAACACAAATATATTATATGTCATAGATAAAAGTGCAGAAGATTTGAGATGTTACTAGAGAGTAGCATACAAAGAAAAGAAGGAGGAAAGATTGTGATAAAAGGACATATAAAATGTTTGAGAGGCCTGAAAAAAAGAACAAACTACATCAGAGCACCCATTAACCACCCACTAGGTTTTTAAAATTTATGCACAAAGCCTGCGGTTTTAAAAAAAATGGTATATATCAACAGTGTATGATTACCTCAAAGTAGAAGGTTGTCTTTGTTTTAAAAAAAGAAAAGAAATTATTTGCGAGTGGTTGACAGGCACTTTGGGTGGTTTGCTCCTTCTTCCCTTTCATCAAACTATCATGTTTATCTCTCCCCCTTCTTTTTTATGATTGTTACTGTGTCTTGTAACACCTCTGATCTTTGACACGTGCATGACCTTATCGTGTTGCAAGTGCAGCAAAACTCTTACTAAAACAAACAATAAAACATTATTTTTCTTTGCTGCTCATAATGCAAAAAAATGGCTGGAATGTGCCACAACTTAATTTGTAGGCTACATTTTATGTCTCTCTCTTCTATTTGTTAAGAATCTGTATTATATTGATTTTTCCCCCAGCACTGAGAATGGCCTGGCCTATTATATTAGTTTAGTGATCATTTCCTTTTCTCAAACTTAATAAGAGAGGCATTATAGTTTAACTGGAGCTTTGGGTGTATAAAAGTCTAAAAGGCAAAGTCTGTTGGTGACCGACACATTGTTCCATCCACTTGTACATTTTTATATTCAAATTCTGTAATTTTTTTCAAATCTGACTGCTGTCTAGCAGGCACATTTAACAAAATACACACCTCTATCTAGTGAACAGATTTTTAAGTCCAGAATTTTATCTTATACATGTATATTTTTTGTGTATAAATTAAATCATGCACGTATATATAGAGAAATTCGTAATAACGAATGATTTCCAGGTTCCACCAGTTTAGCTATTGTGCGTGCTAGACCGTATTTCTGTAAAAGCTGACAGAATTGAATAGAGAAAAAAAATCTGGTTAACACTATTCTGTCTCCATTTATTCTCCTGATCGTCTGCATGTAGTTCGGAAATGTTTGCCTACTCTATACACGTAATGAGTGGACTTTTTATTTGTAAAAATTGTTTAAAAAAATATTTATTGTACTTTGTCACTGTTGTGGAAAGGGTTTCTTTTTTCGATGCCATCACACACTTAATGTTTTTTGCCCCTAGTTAGAATATGATGTATTCGTATCCGTCCTCATTATTTTGATGTGACAAATGGCACTAACAGTGAAAGGTTGTCTAAAGCCATATATATCGTTTTTTGTATTTAGGTAATTGTTGACATGACGTTTGGAGCAGGGGGACACGCCAAAGAAATTCTGAGCTCCTCCTCGTCAATCAAGTACATCGGGTCGGACAGAGACCCTCTCGCTCGCAGACTGGCCAACAGACTGGCGGCCCAGCACAGGTACCAGTAATCCTTTTGTGGACAAAATTGTTCGCTGATCTTGCATCAGACTTATCAGTTCCTTGAACGTCGAAGATGGATGGTGGGCGGTTGGCGGGTGCTCTGGTGTGGTTTTCTTCTTTTTTCCTGTCAAACATCTATCGTCCTTATCTCCCCTTCTTCTTTTTTATGTTTGTTACTCTCTTGTAACACCTCTAATCTTCTGGCGCTCATATGACCTTGTTGTGTTGCAAGTGCCGTAAAACTCTTATTAAAACTTAACTAAAACTGATCTTATCAAAAACATGCCTTTAGTTCCATATACGTATATGTATATATATATGTCTCCTTGTATTTTCAGAGCAAGTGGAAATGAACTGATTCCTGTCCTGGGCCGGTTCTCCGAGCTGCCGACTCACCTGAGTCACCTGGGAATCACGCCGGGATCTGTCGATGGCTTCCTGTTTGATCTGGGGGCTTCCTCCATGCAGTTTGATCACGCGGTCCGAGGGTTCTCCATCAGCAAGGACGGGCCGCTGGACATGAGGATGGATGGACACAGGTGGGCAAAGTGGCGTCGCTGGCCTAGTGGTTCGGCTACTGGACTCGTAATCGTTTGCTTGCGGGTTCGGGGATCGGAGCGTAAGCTCGGTCTTGACGTTGTGTCCTTGGGGAAAGGCACTTTACACAAATTTCCCACTTGGCTCGGTCCTTCCAGAGATGGAAGGTTACTTGGCCAGTGCCCTCCGTCTTGACCCGATGCGGTACAGTACAGTCAAGCCTCTATTATATTGCCAACCTAAGGGGTGGGGTGGTGGGGGGCATGAAGTTGGCAGTAAAGTGGATCTTGTGGTAAAACTGAATTTTATTCTGTCCCCTGAAAATGGCGCAGACAGTCCAATTTCAAGGGAAATAATCCTGTCATGACTAGAGCAAGGAAACTATTATAATGAGTTATTTCCCTTTGTCAAAAACTGCGATGAGGCTTCGTGCATGTCATCGACCCATTGCCTCAGAACTATTTTGTCCAAAGTACTAATATAAAGAGTGACTTTGGACTAAATAGTTCTTAGGTGACAAAGTGAAAATCATTAGCTGATAAAATTGTGTGCAGCTACCGAGTGGTTGCCGTCCATCTGGTGTAGTGGGTGGTTGGCGGGTGCTCCTTCTTTCCTATAAAAAATCTATCGTTCTTATCTCCCTTCCTTCTTTTTTATGTTTGTCACTTTCTTGTAACACCTTTAATCTTCGGCACTTATATGACCTTATTGTGTTGCAAGTGCCGTAAAACTCTTACTAAAACTAAAACACCTGGTGTAGTGTGTACCTCTAGCGGCCAGTGGCCAGTTTGGTGGTGGTATTGCCCGCCAAATTTATGTAAGTTTTGTAAGGATTGTACAACTCAGTCAGTTGGGTTGGTTGATTTGTGGTTTAAAAACTTAATCTGTCATATACCGGGCTGTCCTGTTTGTCTTCTCTGTTGGCCTATTCAGCTTCTCCTGTAGTGCTAATGGCGCTGGCCACATTTCCTGTCTATTTCTTTTTGTTATATTATTTCATTCTCTCCTCTGATTGTATCATGGTGTCTTACAACCTATACCGTTGTCTTATTTTGATCGCTCTGTCTCATCGTCTCATCGCAGATTTCCCGAGAGCCCGACGGCGGCAGACGTGGTCAATACCCTTGACCCGAGTGACCTTGCTCACATCCTCAAAAAGTACGGGGAGGAGTCTCGAGCGAGGGAGATAGCCCATGCCCTTGTGGAGGCTCGCTACGCCTTTGGGAACTTCACTCGCACGGAGCAGCTGGCCAGGGTGGTCAAGAGTGTGTTTAACAGGTAACGACTTCAGGGGGAAAAACGACCGATGTAGTCACAAATTGAAAATCATTTAGTTTTTTTTTTTTGGTTTTAGTAAGAGTTTTACGGCCCTTGCAACACAATAAGGTCATATAAGAGCTGAAGATTAGAGGTGTTTCAAGAGAGTAACACACACAAAAAAGAAGGAGGGGAGATAAAGACGATAGATGTTTGATAGGAAAGAAGAAGCAAACCACACCAGAGCACCCGTCAACCACCCACTGAAAATCGTGAGGGAACCAACTTTGAATGCTTGTTGACTCATAACTGTATTTCTTTTCTACTGTTAGTCGATTATTGTTGTTAAATTTCCCATTCGACAGCTCTTGACAATAAACCACCAGTCAAACAAATATGAAGTTATGAGTCCACAAGCTTTTAAAATTGGCCCCCTCACTCTTTGTGGGTGGTTGGCGGGTGCTCTGGTGTGGTTTGCTTCTTCTTTCCTATCAAACATCTATTGTCCTCATCTCCCTTTCTTTCTTTTTATGTTTGTTACTCTCTTGTAACACTTCTAATCTTCTGGCGCTCATATGACCTTATGCAGTTGCGAGTGCCGTAAAACCTCAACTACAACTTTAAAAACCCTCACAATTTCCTGTTTGTGACTACAGCCGTTTTCACCCTGTGTTTAACAAGTAGGTTTTGTACTTTGTTCTGTGGACGGTTTCTTTGGTGTGTCTGCCCTGTGGGTCATGTCGGGCGGTCTGGTCAACTGTAGTTGTCAGACAAGCTGTGCTTATAATAATGATAATAATAATAATAATAATAATATGAATAATAATAATAATATGAATAATAATAACAATAGTAATAGCAGTAATAATAATAATAATAATAATAATAATAATAATAATAATAATAATAATAATAATAATAATAATAATAATAACAATAGTAATAGCAGTAATAATAATAATAAATAATAATAATAATAATAATAATCATGATAATGATAGCCATAATGATAATAATAATAATTTTGATAATAATGATAATGATGATAATAATTATAATAATAATTATAATCATCATCATTATGATGATAACAATAATGATAATAATAATAATAATTATTATTATTATAATGATAATGATATTGATGATAATAATAATAACAGTAATTATCATGACAATGATGATAATGATAATGATGTAGATAAATTTTATAGCACCTTCTCCCTATCAGCACAGCGGTAGACTCTCTATAGAAATGCTCATGGCCCAGATAGGGCCAGTGGTAGTGTTTGGTTTGCGACGATCTAGAAATTTAGGGTTCAGTTCTTGGCAGAGGTAGACGGGTCATTGTGTCTTTGGCTGGGAGTTTTTGCTCAGATTCGCCCGCCCTGGACCCTGGCATAGATTTGTGGTCAGTATTTGTGTGTGTGAGGGTGCGGAAAGTCCAGGTTCGAGCCTCGGTTCGGAGTTCGGACACGCTTTTTTTTTTTCGCCCCCTCCTGCCCACCCAGCAGTAATGGGTACCTGACTTCGAGTTGGGGAAGTAAAGGCGGCGTGGGAAGGAACTGGCCGCCCTTCCACTGTATGCTGAAGGCCCAGGAAGTTGTCTCACTAACAAGGCAATGTGTGTGCCTGTAGAGAGGTAAAGCTATTTTTTGAGCAACCCGATGAAGAGGCCAAAAAGTTGTTCCTGGTCAAAAATTTCGTTCGATCAGAAAACAGACGTTTAACCATTTCTTAATAACATATTGAACGGATTTAATAATATTTGGAGTCTAAATAAATATTTTTTAAATTAATTATTTTTGCAACATGTACTTCACCAAAGGTTAAAAAAATGGGCTAGAAATTGGGTTTTTCTCCAAACTTTGTTGGCACCCACTCGGATGCTGCTTGTGCAGTGGTAATGTCTCGTGGTAATGCTTGGTTTTCTCGCACATCACTTAAGGAGCCAGTGACCTTCACATGAAACAAGCTTGAAGGCCATCTCAACAAGTAGAAGACCAAGGGAAATAACTCATTGTAGTATTACCCTCCGTCTAGTCATGACAGAGTTATTTTCCTTGACGACGAGCAGTCGGTTCTATTTGACAGAGGACAGCGTTAATACACTGTTATAGTTGGTCGCTTTTTAGGACAAGTGGAGACTTATACCTCCAAACCTGCAGTCTCAAAATTACGAGTCCGGTAGCCTCATGACTAGACTACCGACTCCCCTCTGTCAACCAAAGACAGTTTAATGGTGTTGTATTTTATTTTATCAGAAAGATGGTCCCACGACTAGTTTGATAATGGAAAATTTTAACTTTTTTTTTTTTGGGAGGGGGGTTGTTTCGTTTAATTCTTTTCTTTTTTCCCTACCTCCCTATCATACTGTCCCCGTGGTTGTATGCACCCATCATAATTTAGCAAAATTTGATCATTTTTGCATAATTTCTAATTATTTTCCTTTATCATTCTCTGTTAAAATTAACAGAATCGCATAATTTCACATTTTTGGGCTCAGTTTGCATAATTTCAGAAATTTTTTTTTGCATAAAACCTCGGGGACAGTCATACTGAGGTGAGGCTCATACCTCCAAACCTACGGTCTCACAATTACGAGTCCAGTAGCCTCATGACTAGACTACCAACTCCCCTCTGCCAACCAAAGACAGTTTAATGGTGTTATAACTTATTTTATCAGAAAAATGATCCCACGACTAGTTTGATATTGGAAAATAAAAAAAAAATTTTTTTGGGGGGGGGGAGGGGGTTTATTTCGTTTAATTCTTTTCTTTTCTTCCCTACCTCCCTAACATTTATGTCTCACATTTTCTTCCCGTGGGTGGTTGGCGGGTACTTTGGTGTTGTTTGCTCCTTCTTTCCTATCAAACATCTATCGTCTTTATCTCTCCTCCTTCTTTTTTAAATGTTTGTTACTCTCTTGTAACACCCCTCTAATTTTCGGCACTTATATGACCTTATTGTGTGTTGCAAGTGCCGTAAAACTCTTACTAAAACTAAAAACTAAACTTTCTCCCCCTCTCCTCATTTCTCACAGCAAAGCGTTCCGCCATGACAAGCTATACCGTCAAGCCCACGTGGCCACAAAGACGTTCCAAGCTCTCCGGATATTCGTCAACAACGAGCTCAACGAACTTCACAACGGCCTTGAAGTGGCTCGACATTTCCTCAAGCCGGGCGGCCGCTGCGTGGTCATCTCGTTCCACTCCCTGGAGGACCGGATCGTCAAGCGACACTTTCACGGCATCGACGTGGATCAAGCGGCGAACCTCACCATCCACGACCATTTCCGCAACGCTAATGTCAGCTTCGATGTGGACACGATAAAACAGGACTACATGAGCCGGCCGTGGCGACCCCTGTCCAGAAAGGTCACGGAGCCCTTGGATGAGGAATGTTATCGCAACCCTCGAGCTAGATCTGCCAAGCTGAGAGCAGCTGTTAAAGAAAATTACATTGTAGCAGAAGAGCAGATCAAGTAATTGTTATTTATAATACTATGATTATGTGAAGTTGTGTTTTTTAATCTCATCGCTCTGAATATTGTGTCTTTTGATTGGAGCTGCTTTCAGTGTCTTTTCTGTTTCTTGTATTTGTGCAGCTGTGTGTTCAGAAGTACTGAATAAAAGATGTATTAAAAATTTCACCTGTTATGAACAACTGTCTCGGCTGAAGGTTTTTATTGTCTTGGGTGGTTGGCGGGTGCTCTGGTGTGGTTTGCTCCTTCTCTCCTATATAAAAAATCTACCATCTCTATCTCCCCTCCTTCTTTTTTGTGTTTGTTACTCTCTTGTAACACCTTTCTAATCTTCGGCACTTATATTACCTTTTTGTGTTGCAAGTGCCGTAAAACTCTTACTCAAATTTTAAAAAACCTTGTTTTGATGTGACAAGCTAGAATGAACACAAGATGGACCACGCTGTCAGCTAGCTGTTAATAATAATAAATAGCATTTGTATAGCGCATATCCCCGCTCAACAGCAGGGCTCTATATGCTTTACACTATATTATTACCCCAGCAGACCATAGAACCCTCCGAAACATTCTCAGCTTCCCGGGAAGAATACAGTGCAAGCAGCTGATTAAGCGCTCGAACACTAACAAACTGACGAGATCTTTCGCTTGTCTATAGCCGGGTACCCATTCCCACCTGGGTGAAGTGAGGAAAATTCGTGCAAAGTGCCTTTCCCAAGGACACAACATCGGGCCCCTTACGGGATTCGAACCCACGACCTTACGGTTGCGAGTCTGAGAGCCTAACCACTAGGCCACCGACGCCACAACTGTTCAACTGTTCTAAGCTCTGAAACTGAAAGCAACATTTTTCAAGAGGAAAAAAACTTTTATATATATTTTTTAAAAAAATGTAGGCCTACCTACATTAGGTATTTTTCCTGCTTTTTTGCAGCATTTAGAACTAGAATTTCGACATGATATTTCTCAAGCACAAGAAGCTGATATCACATCAGAAAAAAAAACCTGCAATAAATTTTAAAACATTTATTTATTGCAGTTCCTTAAGGAGGGGGGGGGGGGGGGGGGGCAGCTGAAAGCTATCTCGCTTATTAGTGGATCAAATGTTACCAAATTTCACACATATAACAAGCATAGTAAGGAGTCTTAAAATCCGCTTTCAAATTATAGAGAAAATTTTTTTTTTTCCATGGATACGGCCGCCATATTGGATTTTTGTGACCCTTCTTACGTAATTAATACTGCACTTATTTTTTATGGAAATAAATTGTGTTTTTTTTGGATGCACCTTGGCAAACAAAAGATCTAAAAAATTTTTATTTATGAATTTTTTCCTGAGGGTAGTATTCACGTTTGCAAAAAATACGTGAAAATCCACACTCCAAACGCCCACCAACAAAAAAACTATTCCATATCTTCCATTTAAAAAATTCATCACACAAAGTTATAGTGTTACACCTTTTCTTCATTCTGTGAAAATTTCATAAAGATTGGATGAATAATGGGGAAGTTATTTTAAAAAAGTATATAACCACATTTCGAGAAAACGGGCGACAAAGAAAAATAAAATATTGACTTCATGAGGAAATGGTGACAAACATGGCCCGTTAGGGAAGAAATAAGGCTTTAGGGGGTTCTTATGCGATGAAATAGCTGTAAGTGTAAGAGAGGTTGAAGAAGCTAAACATGCCTACAACTTCAAATCCATAATTTTGAGCTGAATTGGGGACTTTCGGGGTGCTGTCCCACCCCCCCCCCCCTTAACCTGTTGTATCAGTTGCATGCTTTCAAGAAATATTTGGTCAAAATTCAAATTCTACATACTGAAAAAGGCAAATAAAACATAGAGTAGAGATACAATTGTTAAAAGAATGAAGCATTTTTTTTTTCTCTCTCCTGAAAAGTTTTGCTTTCTCAGCTTAGAACAATTTTGGACAGCTTGCCAACAATATCCAGGGATGTGTCTTGTCCATTTGGACTATTTGGACAGCTTCAGAGCGAGGTGGTAAATATAGATAGTTTAGTGCCTTGCTTCACAGGTGAACAATAAACAAGATTGTGAGGCATCGTGGTGAAATCAGACGCTCGTGAAAAAAATGAAATCCAAAAAATCAGCATTGTTTGGCCAGTTTGGGCATTTTTTTCTAATATTTGTATTTTTGGTTCAACACCTCGTACGTCCAGTCAAAAACTTTTATGTGAGGATTTTATGGAAAAACATTGATTAAAGGCTCACAACATGTAAATTTGCAGTTTCCAAGGACTCTTGAAGTCACCAAACTTTGGCTGCCATTTTCTCGATAATTTTAATTGCTGAAACCAGACGACCCCACCTCCTTCAATGGCTAATATTTCGACTTCTATTCGAGATAAATTGATATTTTTTTCATCTAAAGCAAGGCAAATGAATAACCTTTAAGATGATACCAATAACTCCACGTGCACAAAATGACGAGCACCTGATTTCACCGTGTCGTGACACAATTACTGATACAGTTCCCCATCATCATTGTGAAGAAAGTAGAGGTGAAAGGTCTTGCTAGATGTCCAAGCAATACGTGTCCCTGCTGACACTGTCACTCGCAGTCATTTTGTTGGTGAAACAGTTGGGCTGTCCCTGTGGTTTTATGTACCCCGCATATTTTAGCAAAATTTGATCATTTTTTGCCTAATTTCTGATTATTTTCCGTTATCATTCTTTGTTAAAATTAACAGAATCACATATTTTCACATTTTTGGGCTCAGTTTTGCATAATTTCATAATTTTTTTTGCCTCTAACCGCTTGGACAGTTAGGAAAAATGCAGAGAGAAAGTTCATGCAGTCCAGAAAGGAATTGAACTTTGAACTCTATAGCGTGAATTTCTAGGCAACCGGATTGGTCATTTGCCCTTGATAAATCTGCAACTAAATTTAAATACAAGTTTCTTTGCTCCATAATATGGAGTGAAAGGCATAAAGTTACATTCAAGTTATCAGGAGAGTTTTACACTTTCCTAAGTCACTGAAGAAACACATTCTGGTGATTCAAAAGTGCTTGAGGATATCATCATGCGCTGTTTTGGGGCACTTAAAAAAAAGCAGAACTTTGTTTTTCATACAGATTTTTCAAGTCGATTTCCTTTGTCTAAAACTTGAAAAAGTGGTGTGCAACATGCATACTACTATGAAAAATGCAGATTTGTGTTTCCGATTCATGAACGATAGTTGGAAATAGTCCACGGCATGGTTTATTGGTCTGCTGGTCAGACATTAAGTGTGTGTGCCTAAAGAAAGGTACCAAAAGTCGCCACAGACCGTTTTGAGCTAAGGCTGACTAAAAATCACTTTTTTAACCAAAATGTGTTTCCATAAAAAAAATGATAGTTCCACCATTTTTTAAACAATTTGTAGTTATTTATACATTCCAAAGTCCATAAAATTTGCACCTTTGGATCATGACATCCGACATTGAAAAAAAAAAAAATTTATAATCTTGAAAAATGGACAAGATGCATTCACAAACAGAAAAAATCACTCGTATTGTATATGGAATTATTCAGAATTGCATTTGGAATAAACCTACACACGTCTTGAGTGGTACTTTTTGTGTAATTTCACAAAAAATAGTGATTTTTGGGAGAGAAAAAATAAAAATTATTTGACAATTTAGATCTAAAAATCTAGATCTAGATCTAGCACTGAAAAATATTGATTTCTCAATAACAGTAGAGCAATGGCAATTTGAGCCCAATTGTATCAATATTCTAAAGAAGAGTCCTACATTTCTTAAGTGTGCAAAATAATGGTATATTTTGTGGTGTAAAAGTTGTAAGACTGGTGTCTGGGCTATAATTTGAGCATCGCGATAAAACAAAGTCGCATAAACTTCGAAATCGTGTTTCAAAACTGAATCAAAACTTCCGATTTTCGGTGGAAACGCTTGACCCGGAAGTCAACATTATATTATGACCTTTATTTTAAGATGGATATATATATGTGGATTGCAATAGAATCTAAGCTAAAATTGAACATTGGTTCTCGAGCCGCCAGGGGCGGCTTAGCATACTGACGGCACTTAAGCCGCGCCGTCCCCCACGGCTCGGCGTAGCGAATGAGTTAAAAGCTAATTTTCTAAAAATTAGATCTTTATACCCTACCTCGCAAAATGTGCAATATCTCAAAAACTACTTGAGATATCTCAAAAATTCAAAAACCAATGTGTTCTGCATTGAATGTCCTTTTAGGTACAACCCTTAACTTAAAATGGTTAAAATCCAACTTTTGGTACCTTTCTTCAGGCATACACACATATGTGTCACGACGCGATGGAATCAGGCGCTCGTCAATTTATTGGGCATGTGGGGTTATTGGTGTCATCTGAAAGCTGATTTATTTGCTTTGCTTCCTATTAAATAAATTTTTAATATCCATAAATCTTGAAAAAAACTCAAGATATTTGCGACTGAAGGAAGTGAGATCGCCTGGTTTCACTGGTGAAATTAGCGAGAAAATGGCTGCCAAAGTTTGGTTACTCCAATAGCTTATTAAGAGTCTTTGAAAACTAAAAAATGACATATTTTGTGCCTTTAATCAAAGTCACATGGAAATGTATTTTTATATATGGACATAAAAGAGGTTAAGCCAAAAAAAAAAAAATTCAATAAAAATTTCCAAACTGACTGAAAAATGCCTGTTTCTCCGAATTCGTTATTTTGATGAGTGCCAGATTTCACCGTTCTGCCTCACATATGTGTCAGTTTCATCCTTAATTAAAGAGCGTATGTACTGGATGTCTCTCACATCTGATTTCTACGGTGACAATTTACATTCCCCCTTATGAATGTCATGCGGTTTTATGTAAAAAAAATACTGAAATGATGAGAACTGAGCCCAAAAATGTGAAATTATGCCATTCTATTAATTTTAACAAAGATTGATAAAGGAAAATAATCAGAAATTATGCGAAAAATGATCAAATTTTGTTAAATTAAGCGGGGTGCATAAAACCCAGGGGACAGACTTGTGTTCATTTTGTGTCGTGTCACAAACAAGCAAATTACGGACTTCACTACACCTTGGCAGAATGTCCTTTAGTGGAGAAAACACACGCACACTCACACACACACCAGCACTCACACACACTCACACACAAAAAAACGAACAAACAAACAAAACAAGAAACAAACGAACAAAAAACACACAAAAACACACACATATACACTCATACACACACACACACATACATACTCACACTTGCACACAGACACACACACACACACACACACACACACACACACAGACACACACACACACACAGACACACACACACACACAGACAGACAAATAGGACACCAGTAGTAGTAAAAGATAGGAAAAACACCCGAGGTTTGAAAAACCAGCAGCTTTATTTTGCGATGTGTTACAAAGGTTGGGAACCAGGGAGCAGTAGCGGGAACAGAAAATGAGCAATACTTCCTGCCTCCAGGGGGCGTGGGACACACCATGTGACCTCCGCAGACCCACGGCGAGACACACCACATGATCACTGCAGACGCACGGCGAGACACAACCCTGCCCCTCCCTCCCCATGGAGGTGGAAGATATTGTAGTTTTGACAAAACAGAATTGCCAACTTTTGATAAATATGAATAAAGCACACAGGATTGAAATCACAATTGTTCGCCCCACAAATGTAAACACTAGTCCATTAGTCATTCGTTCATTCATCCATATTTTCTTAACGCCACATTGAACCATTCAAGGTTAACTACTTAAGCACTTCAAAAACAAAGAACCCTTTCTAAGACGCAGGGACTAACTCCAGGAAATGATTGTGCAATCTGTTATGTAAACCACCATATACTTGTATGTATAGATTAAAAAATAAATCAACACTTTTTGATAATAGCATGGAAGGCACTCGATTTGAAATCTAAAAATAAAACGTCACTGACAAAGGCCAATCAGCTGATGTCGTATACAGAACGGAGGCGCACACACACAGCAAGTGTGAGGCGTACACGCGACACGTGGTGAGACAATAAATCAACTGTACAAGAATCAATAATTGTCAAATGACTGGAACCAAGGAAGTGCTGGAACAAAACTTGAAAACAAAAGGAAAACACATTTTCTTAGTGAATCAGTGGCAATAACCCACAAAGAAATATACACATATTATTATAATAAATGTAGTTTTCATTATTATTATAGGGTTCTGATATAAATAATTTTCTGTTCTCTGTTCAAGAAGCATTATATCACAAACGGACATCTTTGTTCACACCACTGCCAAGACAAATAATTTACACAAGGGATATATGTGTTCAACTTTTGATAATGGTTAAAAAAAGTTTGGCCACTACAAGTTGCATGCTGTGCCCTAAAGGAAAGCAAAGCCTGCCAGTTCGCGACACAATCCCCACCATGACTTTATCAACTTTATCGATCGATGCTGAAGTGATGACGGAAGAAATCGTCAACTTTCAGACTCTCCTTTACAAGGGGGAACAAATGGGAGAAAAAAAAAAAAACACCAGCAAAATTGCGTAGGGCTGATTTAAAAAAATAAACACCTGACCACTGGCGTGCAGCGAGAGAAGAGAGGTCATTCCAGAAACGGTGACGCAAGGAACTGTGTAAAGTCCATACTCATTCTCTTCTTGTAGGACCAAGAAAAGGGATCAGCAGACCACTGTCAAATTACTCTGAATACACCCTTAGACATCATGAAATGCATCAGTGGATCAGGACGATCCCTCTTAACTTTGTTGAAAGGAAAAAAAAGTCGTGCATGTTGATAATGAATGCCAAAGTGAAAGCATGCATCGAGGGTGTCTGGGAATTTCCGCGTCTCATCAGGGTCAGAGCTTACTACACGGGCCCTGATCGAAATGTGAGGCGTGCTGACAAAATGAGTTACTTTTTGCAATCCATGAATGGAGATATCAGCCAAAGATCAACACAAGCGTCGTGTTTGTAGATTCTAAACCAATACCATTCTCTTCAAGTTTAACATGTCTTTTATGATATGATATTTCGTTCAAATAAATTGTAAAAATTCAACCTGTCAATTTGACGTATCTATTTCCATCAGAATAAAATCTGAGAAGTAACTCATTTTGTCGGCACATCTCCCAAATCAGTTGTAGGTGTGGACAGACGAGATGAGATAAGAATGTTGCTGCTGCTGCGATGTTGTCTTTCATGATGCTTCCCAAGGTGCGGGTCTGTCTCCTTACACGCCTCAGTGGTGACACGCTCACAACACACTACACGGCTCACTGGGGATACACACCAAAGGAGATATGTGTCAACCATCTAAACAAATTTAAGATATGGAGTTTGGAACATGAAAACAAAATAAACGCACCAATTTAAAAAAAAAAAAAAAAAGGACTTACACATGGAAGATCAGCTATAGTACTACGGCCTAATAAGAAAGACTTTAAAACTGTGACATCTGAGAGTGAAAAATAATTCTCTTTCTCTGAACAGAGGTGGAGGACGTTTTGTCCCATACCTTGGGCCAATCAAACTCAAGGCGAACAAAGTGTGGATGCAGTACCCCATTCACCTATATAAAATCAATGTCGGGGGGGGGGGAATGCTATTTTCAGAGTAAGGGTCACTTTCATCAAAAAGGATTTCATCTACTTGATAAGACAGATTCCTCATATAAAATTATTTACAAATGTACCATAATGAGATTTTGATTTCTTAGTCCAGTTCTAGTTCTAGATTTAGTACGAGCTTTAATGGCACTTGCAACACAAATAGATCACGTAAGTGCTGAAGATTAGTCGAGGTGCTACTAGAAGGTAGCATACAAAGAAAAGAAGTAGGATCGAGAGGTTAGGATGATGGATGTTTGAGAGGAAGAAAGGAGCAAACTGCGCCACTGCCAACACCCACCATTTTGATTTCTGGTAAAATCGTGAGGAATAATGGGCAGAGGAAAGGACATTATAATGTCGCCCGAGTATAACAACCCTGTATCTCACACCTTGTCAAAAAACACCTTTTTTGCTTTTTTTCTACAAAATGTAACGTTGCGGATTTTATGCCAATTTTTTAGACATGTAGATCTAGCTCAATAAACTTCGTCCGTGCAACATTCAGACTTTAATTTTTAACAAACACTGTTAGATGAATTGACAAAGTTTTTTCCATCTCCTGTAAAATTCCTTTTTTGTGGGATACAAGGTTATTGCACACAGGCGACAATAAGGGTGTGTCTATTAGGGCAAAAGCAAATTCACAATTAAACACCCTAAAAATATAATATTGGAAGAGAGTCCATTTCAGACTGCAGAGTGAAGAAAAAAAATGTCAGATTTCTCCCTGGCACTGAATGAGAGGGACTCACCTGCACGGAGTTAATCAACTGTGAGAAAGGACTCACCTGCACGGAGTTAATCAACTGCTGGACGTCGACTTCCCCGGCCGCCGAGTCTCCCATTCTGACCACCAGCGAAAATGTCCAGCTAGTCTGACCGCGCTCGTCGGAGGCAGACACAGTGTAGGACCCGGTGTCAGTCGAGAGGGCGGTGGGGATGGTGAAAGTGGCAGAGTTGCCGTCTTGGGACACGTTGAAGCGGCCAGACTCCTCGATGGGGCGGCCATCTTTGCTCCAAGACACTGCACGGGATGAAAAGTGAAACAGGCCTAAACTCTTTAAACACTGAGTATTTGTTTTCCCACTGTTTCCCAGAGTTTTTTTCTACAGTCACCTAAACCTGGTGCACTATGTCTCATTATAACCCCAAAAGCTTGCCTCCAACTTCTAAATAGTGGAAACAAAGACTTAGTCTTTACTAAAAAACTTGGTTTGGGAATAGTTCCAAAACACAAGCAAAAACAAGCCCTTGAAACCTGGGTTAGCCCGCTTGTCCTTAAAAGCAACCATATAATAAAGGGAAATGATGGTCCTTGAACAAAAAGTCTGCGGCAGACGGCGTACCTGTGACAGTGGACGGGCTGTCCAGGGTGGCGTTGAAGGTCACGGAGCTTCCCTCGTCCACGCTCTGGCTCTTGGGGAAGGCGCTGAACACGGGCACGGTGGGTTCTTCTTCCGGAACTGTGGGATAACACAGACACATCATGAGGTCGTGACACAATGTGGGAGGCACCACGGTGAAATCAGGCGCTCGTCAAAACAGTGACATCGAATAATAATAATAATAAAAATAATAATAACAATAATAATAATAATAATAACAATAATAATAATATTCGTAATAATATTGATATTAATAATAATAATAATAATAATAATAATAATAAAAATAATAATAATAATAATAATAATAATAATAATAAATGAATTTATATTGGCATTTTTCTGCTGGTTTGGTAATTTTTGTCAAAATTTTATTATTAATTGGCTTAACACCTTTCATGTCCATTTAAAAACACACTCTGTGTGGTATGAATTTTACTAAGTCCAATTGTTATCAATTAATAGTAACAATGTGCAAAATTCATCTAGCCCTCTGATTGCTGTCAGTTTTCAAGTAAAATTACAAATTTAAAAAACAAAAAACAGAAAACAAAAAACAAACATACCATCGGAAAGCTGGTGAAATACACTAAGCCCAAAAAGCAAAATTTTTCTAGAGAGAAATAATTTTTCCTTTCTTTTGATAATGATACCTATACTGTGTATTTCTTCTTGCTTTTTTCAACATTTAGAATTTTAGTTTTGATAAAATATTTCTCCAGTACAGTCATCCAATAGCACAGATTAACACTTTGCCATCACAAGGCTCATATAGTAAAAACCCTTGCCATCAAAGGCTAAGGCATTTTGGAGAAAATCCAAAGAAACTGGGTGGTGAACATCGCCGATTGGCGAGATGTGACAGCAATGTGACGGCGAAGTATTGAGAAACTGCTACCAACAAAGTTTCACAATTTTGGGCTCATATATGTATCTGAATAGCTTGCTAACAATACATCAATACATGTAAGAGCTGTGACCAGATTTAGCAAAACTTAATTGTGAGGCATCATGGTGAAATCAGGCGCTCGTCAAAATATTAAAATCCGAGAAATCAGCATTTTTCGGCCAGTTTGGACATTTTTTCGAATTTTTGTTTTTTGACTCAACATCTTGTATATCCATTCACAAACACTTTTATGTGTGGATTTTGTGGAAAAACGTTGATTAAAGGCACAAAAAATGTAAAACTTGCAGTTTCCAAAGACTCTTAAGCTATGGAAGTCACCAAACTTTGATGGCCATTTTCTCGCTAATTTTTATTCTGAAACCAGGCGACCCACCTCCTTCAACCGCTAAAATCGCGACTTTCATTCCAGATAAATGGACGTTTATTTCCTCAAAAGCAGGGGGCAAATGAATAACCTTCAAGATAATACCAATAACTCCACATGCCTGAAAATTGACGAGCGCCTGATTCCACTACGTCATGACACAATTAGTTAACAAACTGAGAGCAGGGGCCCAGCAGAAGACGAAACAAATGCTTACCGCTGACAAACACAGTGGCAGAGGCTGTGGCTTTTCCTCCAGCACTAGAGGCCTGGCAGGAGTACACGCCGCCATCCTCCGGGAAAATCTCGGCGATCACCAGTTTGTACACGTCTCCGGCGTTCTCGTAGCGGAAGTCGTCGGAAGGCTTCACGGGCTTGCCGTCCTTCAGCCACTGGACATCATCGGGCTTTCCTGTGGCAGAGAGAAGACAGATGGGTGGTCAGTTGGCAGAGATTGATTGATTGAGTAAGTGCTTTATGGCACTATCGACTCAATTTTGGTCACGTAAGTGCCAATAAGTTATATAACAATAGATCTATCACCAAGTTAAAAGGAAGGACAGACATTTATATTTGTAAATATTGTAAAGATTTATTTACATACGTATTTACTATATTAATTTCAGTGTATGTATATACACCGACAACTTTAACTATACATTTCTATATCCTAGGAAATAATCTAATTTCTCAAATAAAATTCAAAATCTTTCTTGGATTAACGACGTCAAAAACATTTTTGATGTTTCTATACTTGAAGTATTTTATACGTATATGGTCAAAGTCGACACATTCCATCAGAATGTGGGAAACGGTAAAATATGTGTTGCACGCCACGCAAAAAAGAGCTTCAGTTGGCAGACAGTACATGTTTGTTGGAGTGAGAAGACAGATGGTTGGTCAAAAAAACAAAATATTATTATTATTATTATTATTATTATTATTATTATCAATATTATCATTATCATCATTATAACTATTATTATCATTATTATTATTATCATTATTATCATTGTAATTATTATTATCATTATCATTATTCCTCTCTCACCTGCTATTCTGCATTGCAGAGTGACTGAGTCTCCGTCGGACACACTCTGTCCTTGAACCAGCTCCAGGAACCTCGGGGCCTCGGATGCAGCAGACTTCTTCTCAGAGCCGGCCGCAGCTTTCTTCACTGAAAACACCAACACAACATAGATCACTTGATGAAATAAGAGAAATAGAAAAAAACTCAGAAATGATACATAGTAAGAATACAAATGAAATAAATAGAGGTGGCTAAATCAAGCATTTTGTTACGATACCAAGTGAGAAGATCAATGAAATAATTTATGAGGGTGTCTTGTAAATACCTGCCGTGCAAATACCGAATAAAAAAGATGAGGACGGATGGACGAAAGACAAATGTACATTGAACATAGAGAAAAACAGAGGCTCAAATAGGATTTCTGTGTGGGGAGTATTTTTTTGGAATGAGTCTTGGTTCTTTCTCCTGGGATTTTGTATCCTCATGGCCCAGATATGGACTAACAGGCAGGGTTGAAGGCCATCTCCTAAATGACCTAAATTGTGTTAATGGGGCTGTAAAAACCACCTGCTTTAAAAAGAGAATACATCTCTGCAGAGGCCTAGAGACAGTTGAGAAACAAACTCTCATGAAAGTGAAAGGAAATGCCAGAAAAGCTTTCTGTTGACAGTGATGTGATATTTGCTTTGGTAGAGAGATGAGTTAAATTAAAAACACCTCTTTAAAAAGAGAATGCATATGTGAGGCAGCAGGGTGGAATCAGGCTCTCGTAAAAAAAATCAAAGTGAAGAAACTGGCATTTTTCTGCAGGTTTGTGAATGTTTATAAAACTTTGTCTTTTGCCTCAACACCTTTCATGCCCATTAAAGAACTCATTTCTGTGTGGATTTTTCTGAAAAACGTTGATTAAAGGCACAAAAAAAGTAAATTTCCAGTTACCACGGACTCTTAAGCTAGAGAAATAACTAATCTTTGGCGACCATTTCTCACTAATCTTACCTCTGAAAACAGGTGACCCCCACCCCCTTCATTCGCAACTATCTCTACTTGTATTAAAGATAAATGGATATTTTTTCACCCAAATAAAGACAAGTGAACAGGCTTTAAGATGATACCAATAACTCTACATGCTCAAACATTGATGACAGCCTGATTTCACCATGCTGCCTCACATATAAGCAAAGGCATGGAGATGGATCAGCACAAGCAAGAAATCAGGTCATGACGGAAAAAGCAAACATCTGAAGAGCTTACCAATGACGGTGACGTTGGCCTTGGTGGATGCCACGCCGGCCGTGTTTGTGGCCTTGCAGACGTAGTCTCCCTCGTCCTCAATGACGGACTCACCGACCTCCAGTTTGGCGACTCCACGGCGGAAGCTCAGGGCTACGATCTCATCAGACTTCAAGAGCTGGAGAGAAACAAAGAGATAAATTGAGACTAGGCCTATATATAGAGAGAGAGAGGGAGAGAGAGAGAGAGGGAGAGAGTGTGTGTGTGTGTGTGTAAGAGAGAGAGAGGGAGAGAGAGAGAGAGAGAGAGAGAGAGAGAGAGAGAGAGAGAGAGAGAGAGAAAGAGAGAGAGAGAGTAGGAGGGAGATCAGATAAGTTAATATAAGATAAGATCAGATCAGATAAGATAAGATAAGAAACAGACATCGGCGATCACGGTTTAGAACATTTTTCTCCTACTGGAAAATCTGAAGGCAAACAAGGCAGGGGTAGACCCAGAGAACCTTGTTTGGAAAACCTGAACACACAAGTGATGGAGAAACCCCAGGATAGTATAAAATACTTGAGAGCATCCGAGTGGAGAAAGAAATGAGTGGAGAAGTGTGGTCGTCCATGTCTGTGTCAGATCTGGCACTTTGGGATCTTATTTTATCTGATCTGATCTGATCTTATCTATCATATCTCATCCTATCTTATCTGATCTGATCTTATCTTATCTTACATTACCTTATCTTATCTTATCTAATTTTATCTGATCTTAACTTATCTTAACTTATCTTATCTTAAACTTATCTGATCTTACCTTACCTTATCTATCTTATCATATCTTATTTTATCTGATCTGATCTGATCTTATCTTATCTCATCAACTACCTGTCCGTTCTGGAACCACTCGATGTTGGGCTCAGGTTTCCCGGTCACGGAGCAGGACAGGGTCATCTTCTCGCCCTCGTTGACGGTCACTGGCTCCAGGTTCTGTGTGAACTTGGGCGCCTCCTCCTGGGGCTCTTCTCGTCCTGGGAGGTACAGACGCGGAGTAACGTTAGAATCTGTACATAGTTACTCTAGGATCTGCACATAGAGTTTCGTAATCTGTTCACAGAGTTACATTAAAATCTGTATATATATATAGAGAGAGTTACGTTAGAATCTGTATATATATAGAGAGAGAGTTACGTTAGAATCTGTATATATATATAGAGAGAGTTACGTTAGAATCTGTATATATATAGAGAGAGAGTTACGTTAGAATCTGTATATATATAGAGAGAGTTACGTTAGAATCTGTACACAGAGTTACTCTAGGATCTGTACATAGAGTTACTCTAGGATCTGTTTTTTTTAGTAAGTGTTTTACGGCACTTGCAACACAATAAGGTCATATAAGTGCCGAAGATTAGAGGTGTTACAAGAGAGTAACAAACACAAAATAGAACGAGGGGAGAAAAGGACGACAGATGTTTGATAGGAAAGAAGGAGCAAACCACACCAGAGCACCCGCCAACCACCCACTTTCTTGTTTATGCAACCTGTATCATGATAGCCTGTCAGGAGCTGTAATGTCATTCATGTATTTCCCTCCCTTACGATTACCAAATAATTTCATGTAGACCTTCCTTAACTTGACAAAAACAATCTTCAACTATGGAGATCTTTGAGATAAAATCGTTACTTCATTGGGTTAAAAAAAAAATTTTTTTAAATTGATAACAGCATTCAGGGATAGACAGAAAGACAAAACTCTGAAAATGGACTGGGCTATCTCCAACAACAAATAAAACATAGCCTAAACATATAAGCAACAGCTTTGGTATCTGTGGTTTAGCATTTCAACACTTCACCACCACAGACAAAGGGGTCGAGTTTGATCCTTGTGTGGGCAGAATTCTTATTCTGTATCTCATACTCAGTCATTCTGCTGAGATATTGTATCTCTCTTACCCCAAGTTGGTCCTTATAGGCAAGGTGAAAGCCTACCTCTTTAAGTGACATAAACTGTGTTGATGAGGGCAAAAAAACAATTTAAAACCCAACATTTGAAAAGAAAGAAAGAAAAAAGAGAAAAAACAGCATCTTGCAACAACCCAGAGTGAATTGGTCATTTTTAACCCTATCCGTACTTTGGGTTTTACTATCGTATCCTTACGACGTCGGGAACTCTCTGCCACCACTTCCAAAGAGGAAATTTACTAATTAATCCGATCCGTACACTTTGCATAGCAGTCTGTCAAAATAATCTTTTGAGAAATACTGAAAGTTTCAAAGAGATCTTTGTACTATAAGTATTCTAAAATGTGAACAATATAGCCTCGGGGGGTACAAAATGATCCCAAGGCGTACGGATAGGGTTAAAAAAGTCTCCAACACAAACCAATGTACAGGTAGGCTACAATGAGAAGGTCATGTTCACAAAATTGCTGATGTAGCGGGACTCACCTTCGGTGTGACTACTACTACTGGTGCTACTGAAGGCTGCAGAGATAGAGAAACAATGGTCATGCATACACCGAGAAAAAAACCAGCATTCAAATGGGACAGGAGGCATTCTGATGGAGACGTGATGTGCAGGCTTCACCGATTGACAGAGGGGATGCCAGAGTACCTCATTCACAGTTCTTAACTCCCACCACCCCCCACACCCACCCTACTCTACCTCCTGTAGAATTTATCTACTCAGATAATGTTCTTCTCCTACAACCTCAGAGAATCCACAGCAGCTGATTTTTGTGTCAACATCACCCCCCTCCCCCCTATATCCCCAAACACACCCATCTTTCAGAAGTCTTGCATATGTCTCTTCCCTTGCATCGTGTCATCAGTTTTATTCAACAATTGCCTGAATCCGTTTCTGGGCGTTTTCAGATAAAGTCTTTATTTAAAAAAAAAAAAAAGAACTCCAAAGGCCATTAGTTCAATATAGTTTTGTTCTGTTTCGTTATTTCCTTCCAAGTTTTTAACTGAAAAATGACACATGCACACGTCATGGTTTTGATTTGGGTGCTTTCTTTTTCTGTAACTTTCTCAAAACTTCCAAAAATGATTTAGTCACTTGTGAAAAAATGCTGATGATATAAAGTTCCCACTGTAGTGTAAGCCCTATATGCCATGACTGATTCTCAACAAATCCTGCGCATCCCAGTGGTTTGTTCATGGACGCCATGACTGTTATAACTATACCAAATTGGGACTCTGGCATAGCCTCCCTCATGCACTGTGAGACATCTACACCACACAGAGGGACAGACACAGAGAGAAACTACGAGACACAGTGTCCTGTTCTGGTCTAGATAAAGATAAATCGCAGTGCTTGTCAACCTGAGCAATCACCTGGTAGAGACTAGGTGCTACTTAATGCCACACTTGGAAATGACGCGTTTAGGTGGGCAGTACGGAAATGTTAGCCTCTTAAAGCTGTCCCCGTGGTTTTATGCAAAAAAAATTTATGAAATTATGCAAACTGAGCCCAAAAATGTGAAATTATGCGATTCTGTTAATTTTAACAAAGAATGATAAAGGAAAATAATCAGAAATTATGCAAAAATGATCAGATTTAGCTAAATTTTACAGGGTGCATAAAACCACGGGGACAGTTAAAGGTGGCAAAAGTGGGTATGGGTGCTGGCTACAAAAAGGTTGACAAGCACTGAGTTAAATGAAAGGACGTTGTACTGACTAGGAGAATGTCTGACATTTCTAACTACATGCGCAAGGTCATGAGGTTGACAAATGAGATGTGTAGTCACAACCAAGAGAAACACAGAAAGGACACACCACAGTGACACACTTCAGTGACACAATGACACACTACAGTGACACAGCACAGTGACACAATGACACAATGCAAGGGAAATATTTATACGAAGGAAATCAATGTCAGGAGCAGAGAAATAAAAGGAAAGAATGTGATATGTTAGAGAGACGGAACAAAGAAAAAACCCCACAAAGTTTGTAAAGACATAAAAAAAACACATGTGAAACATTTAAACTAGAAACAGGAGCAGAGAACATTAAGATTTCAACAATCATTTATCACACTAGCAATCACTGCAAAAAAATCGCAGTTCTAAGAATCAGAATCATTCCTTGAGTTTGATCGATGAGGAAGTTTGAAACAAAAATTTGTGAGGCAACGTGGTGACATCAGGCACTCGTCAAAAATAATTAAATTTAAAAATCTGCAATTTTTGGGCCGATGGGCAATCTTTTTCTAGTTTTCTTTTTTAGGCTCAACACCTTTTATGTTCATATAAAAGCACACTTTTATGTGGATTTTACTGAAAAACATTAATGAAAGGCACAAAAATGTAAATTTTCAGTTTCCAAGGACTCTTAAGCTATGGAAGTTACCAAACTTTGGCGGCCATTTTCTTGCTAATTTTACCTCTGAATCCAGACGACCCTGACCTCCTTTAATCGCATATATTTAGACTTCTATTCAACATAGATGGATATTTCTTTCACCTACAGCAAGGCAAATGAACAGGCTCCAAGATGATACCAATAGCCCTATATGCCCAAAAATTGACGAGCGCCTGATTCCACCACGGCGTGACATTTAAAAGTGGAACAGAAGCATTCGTGATCACTCTGTACTATATCAACACATGCAGGCAGAAATGACTGGGCTATGCCCGAACATAGAGCAGGTTTGGTCATCAGGTGATTTTTTTTACTGAAAGTGAAAGTGATCCATGGACGCAGCATAGCATGCAGGTCACGAGTGGATGTTACAGGGTGGAAGACAGACTGAGGGGAGGAGAGGGCACGGGTGTGTTTCTCTCTGCTTGAGAGATAGAGAGAAGGAGAGAGATGGGGAAACAGAAAGGGAGAGAGAAAGAAAATGAGAGAGAGAGAGAGAGAGGGAGAGAGAGAGAGAGAGAGAGAGAGAGAGAGAGAGAGAGAGAGAGAGAGAGAGAGAGAGAGAGAGAGAGAGAGAGGGGGAGAGAGGGAGAGAGAGAGAGAGAGAAACGCACAAAGACAAAAAGAGAGAAAGAGACAGAGAGGGAGTGGGGGAGGGAGGGGGAGGAGAGACAGAGAGAAAGACAGAAAAGGAGAGACACACAGACAGAGAGAGAAAGAGAGAGAGAGAAATAGAGAGAGAGCATGAGAGATAAGAGACGAAGAGAGAAAAACAGAGAAAGAGACAGAGAAGGACAGAGAGACAGACACAGACAGAGAACAAAGCGTCAGTTTCATTTACTTGACTTCCGTGAAGAGCGTGAGGTGGTGACCTCCTCGGAGATATCACTGCGGCGGCTTTTCCTCACGGTGGAGCTCGATTCCTCGTAGCTCGACGACTCCTCGAAGTTGGCACCGGACTTTGTGCGTCTGACGGTGCGTGACGTGTGTGAGGACTGGGAGGACTTGCTGTCACCGGAGTGGACGCGGTCTGGACGAGGAAAACACACAGGAAATAAATAAATACATGAATAAATAAATAAATAAATAAAAAAATAAATATATCAATATATATATACAAATAAACAAATATATAAACAAACAAACAAACAAACAAATAAATAAATAAATAAATGAATATAGACACACACACACAAAAAAACAACAACAACAACACACACACACACACACAGACACACACACACACACACACATGATGTATATATACATCCAAATAAGTAACACAACACAGACACACACACACACATACAAAATAAACAACAAACACAGACACACACACACATACAAAATAAACAACAAACACAGAAACAAACACATATGTGATACACACACACACACACACACACACACACACACAAACACACACACAAACACAATCACACACAAACACACACACACAGAAGCCACTTATACTCACCCTCCACCACAACCTTGCAGGTGGTCTGCTCCTCTCCCAGCGGGTTCTTAGCAATACAAGTGTACTTGCCAGAGTCCTCCGGCTTGGCATTGCTGATCTCCATGGTACAGATGCCGTGAGAGTACTGGATGGTGTAGTGAGTACCGTCCGAGATCTCACGGTCATCTTTGTACCATACCACCTGGGGAGCAGAAAACAAGAGAGGGGGAGTAAGTTTGAGTGAAAGTTTTTCGTGGCCGTGGGTGGTTGGTGGGTTAGTGCTCTAATGTGGTTTGCTCCTTCTTTCCTATCAAACAGCTATCATCCTTATCTCTTCCCCTTCTTTTTTCATGTTTGTTACTCTCTTGCAACACTTTTAATTTTTGGCACTTCTATGACCTAATGTAGTTGCAAGTGCCATGAAACGCTTATTAAAACAAAAATAAAAAAAGAGTTTTACAACACTTGTGACATAAATAGGTTATATAAGAGTCAAAGATTAGAGGTGTAACTTGAGAGTGTAGTAGACAAAGAAAAGGAGGAGGAGAGAAGAGGATGGAAGATTTATAGGTCATACAAGTGCTGAAGATTAGAAGTGTTACTAGAAAGTAACAGACAAAGAAAACAATGAAGAGAGATACGGATGATAGATAGATGTTTGATATGAAAGAAGAAGGAGCAAACCACACAAGTGCACCTGCCAACCTTGAGGGGGTACAAGGGAGATGTGACCAAGAACATGGGAAGTGAGGTTGTGCAGAAGAAAGGAGGATGAACAGGGATAAGTAAGGTCTTTAGTTTGGAGAAAATAAAAAAAAGCAGTTAAGTATTGGACCTCTACAACTGGAAAAGAAAATAGACGAAAATAAAACATGTGCTAAGGAGGAAACAGGACTTACACAACAATATAAAATAAAATGGTGAACCCATTAAAATGTGGTAAAGAAAGTTTCTTACTCATAAAGTTAGTAGGTTCATCAACATTGACGTGAAAGTTAATGCAGTCAGTGGTAAACACTTTTTGAAAAATCTTAATGGTACTGGGAGACTGAAACAGCGACTAATTTTACCGCGGTAGCTTTTGTATATTATTCACCTACATGAAGTAAACTAAATGCTTTGTTACAATGGTATCTTTTTGTTTTGTTTTGGTCATGTCTATGATGAAGCCTGAATATGGGCAAAACGTTGAATTGTGTTTTAACACTATAAGAATGTCTAAACTATATCCAAGTCCCCATATATTTTTTTCTACTGTACAAGATGTTAATTTAAATAAACTAAACACTTGTCTGTCTTACCTTTGGTGGTGGGTGAGCCTTGACGCAGCAAATGAGCTTGAACTCAGTGTTGGCTTGAATGACGCGAGGTCGGAGGTCAAAGTTGAAGTTGGGACTCTCATCCTCCTTTGGCTTCTCAAACTCCTTCTCCTCAAACACTCGCTTCCTGAGGACAAGAACAGACACAAATCACGGGACTGATACAGTATGTATTCACTGTGTCAATATGGCCGCGGTCCTTAGAACAGCCATCATATCCCGCAGCACAATACTCACTTCATAACTCACAGAGCACAAACAGACACAGATCAAGGGACTGATACAGTATGTGCACTCAAACTTTACAGTCAGAGACACACCACTTTGTCAATACGGCCAGGGCTCAGAGGACAGCCATCATATCTTGTACAACTGTAGGCTACTCACTTCATGAGTCATGGCAATATTACTACACCACTAGAGAGTAAATGGTATGGTAGTAGGGAGGATCTAAAGAGAACTGCACTATTTGTTCGTACCATCAGATTGACTGTCAAACTGTTATCGAAAATGAAGAAGAACAACAACTTAAGGAGAATTAATTTAAGCAATTTATGAAAAAGCAAAACATTTTCTTAACAATTAAAAAAAAATCCAATAACCACTAAAGCACATAAGAAAATTAATTTTAAAATCTAGCACTCCCTTAATCCATGAACACATACTCAAAGAATGACAATTTGTCTAATACTGTAAAAAAATGAGAAAGAAAAAAATCAATATTCTTTAACTCCTAAGATTTTATTCCTTAGATTAACAGAATGATTTATGAATTTATTTATTGGCCATTATTCATTTCTCTTTCAACACCTAAGTGTTGAAATAAAGTGGAAAATCATCCTTTTCCTTGAACTGATTGAAACATTTCCGGCATCCATTGAAAAATTAGTTACAAGAGCCATCATCCCAGGACTTTATAATATTTTGTATTGACAAAATGTTGACCTCTGACATTAACAGTACATGGACTCATCATCATCCTCATCATCATCATCATCATCATCCTCATCATCATCATCATCATCATCGACTAAACAATTCCCCTTTTTCTTTTGTTTTTCTTGTCTTGTTTCTCTTTTTTCGTTTTTCTAGAAACATAACAATTTGCTCCATGTCAACACGTTTTTATGTAACCTACAAATATCGGCACCAAAATCAGTTCACGAGACAAACCCCCCCCCCCCGGAAAAAACAACCACCCCCCCAAAAAAAAACAACAACCAAGAGTACATGGAGAGATGAATGAATCACTTACTTTCTCATGGGAGTGGTTTCTCTGCTGGGAGCCGCAGGTTTCTCTGGGCCAGCTGGAGAGAGAGAGAGAGAAAGAATGGGATGAAAGGATTGTGATGTGCAAACTGAACTCCAACATGAGGCTTTATTGTGAGCTTTGGAAAACTAGCTGTCAGAGAAAGACAAGTGAAATGATATCCTACACTGAACAGATATAATGTCAAAGTGACAATCATCTATACTCACACATTGTTACATTTTCATGCATTTCAACATATCCATCCAAAATATAAAAAAATAAGATTCTCACCAATGTCCCAGGTTTAAATCTGATGTCTCAGGCTTCCAAAGTTCATGACATGTTTACATAAGCAAATGCTGATCTCACTTTTTCCTTCTTTAAATTTGTGCCTGGACCAATCATCATTAAGTCGTGGCATTTACTTATTATGCGGCCAAAAATAGTTTTCTCATCACATTGTACAACTTAAAATTTGTGATATTATATTATGGATCCTCACCCACTCACATACCTCAGGCACTCAAGTTAATCCTATCCTCTCCCTCTTTACCTTCTACTTTGAGGTTAGCCCTCTCCTCCTTGCGACCGAAAGAGTTCTCTGCCCTGACGATGTACTCTCCCTTGTCGTCCATCTTGATGCGGGAGATCTTGAGCTCGTACTCGGAGCCGTGGTACTTCTGCATGTGCTTGTAGCTCTGGCCTAGCAGACCGTCGTCCTTGTACCTGGGGGGAGATAAGATAAGGTGAGATAAGGTGAGGTGAGGTAAGATAAGACAAGATAAGATAAGGTAAGGCAAGGCTAGGAAAGGTAAGGTAAGGTAAGGTAAGATAAGACAAGGTGAGGTGAGGTGAAGTGAGGTGAGGTAAGATAAGATAAGATAAGATAAGGTAAGGTAAGGTAAGGTAAGGTAAGGTAAGGTAAGGTAAGGTAAGGTAAGGTAAGGTAAGGTAAGGTAAGGTACAATAAATTAAGGTAAAGAAAAAGTAAGGTAAGATAAGGTAACAATTTATGATCTTCACAAAGTGAAATTTACTGCAGCATGGTAAATACACACACACACACACACACACACACACACACACACACACACACACACACACACACACACACTCACACACACACACACACACACTCACACACACACACTCACACATGCACACTTACATACATACACAAATGCACACTCACAAATAGTAATTTGATGGACAAACAAAATACTGTTATTCTTGCGCACCTGAAAATAATTATATCTTGTACTGATGATGGTATGAATTAATTTTTCTACCTGTTGGGTGAGGGAATGATAGAAGACACCCTCAACTTAATTTGATCACCTTCTACTTTTCAGCATTTTCCAGAATTGACTAGTTCTGTTTGTTCATTTACTTGAGTTAAGAGAAGCACATCTACAAATAATAGTCATTTAGTGCAGGGAAAAAAAGTATAAAGAAAGACAAAAATAACTGAGAGTGAAAAAATAAGTAGCACCTGCCAGTGGCGCCCTCCAAGAACCCACAATCCTCAAAGAAGCATGTAATAACTTTGAAAAGGGGGGGGGGAGAGGGGGAGGGACTTCATCTTTCTCCATTCACTCAGCTCTGTCCTTAAAAAAAGAGGCTTCCCCTCCTAAATTACCTTACTTTTAGTGAGAGTATGATTACTACATAATATGAAAAGCATTCCAAAAGTGTCTTACCAGGTGACAATAGGAGGTGAAGCAGCGATGATTTTACAGTCAAACTTGGCACTCTGGCCTTCAGCTGTGATCTGGTTGCGTGGTCTACGCACAAACCTGGGAACAGCTTCCTTACGGTCTGGGGGAGAAATGGAAGATATTGTATTACATAGAGAACATACAAAGTTCTTTGAGTTTCTTTTGGAAAAACGAACACATATCATATAGCCATAGGTACAGAGATATTAAAATTTTACCACAAAAGGATATACACAATCTTTATATCAAATTGACTTTTGAAAATAAATAATAACGTATTGAGAAAGTTGAAGCTTATATTATCTATTCTCACTTAATCTGTATATATCACAGCCACATTAAGTTTTTAAGGAGGAAAAAAAAAGAGACACAGTATTCCTGTCACAAATTGACAGATACTAAAAAGTAAAATTCAGAATCTACTGAATCCTATAGTAATATCCTAGTACTGCAACTTGACTGAACCGGTCTTATCAAGAAAAATTATGATATAAAAATGATAAATAAAAGAAGAAAGAGACATTTAGTAAGACAAGAATAAAGTATGTACTACTGTAAAGAACAAAGCAACTCTCAGTTGCATTATAAATTTTCTGCAATAAAAAAGAATAAGAGGTGAACACAAACATACCATTTTATATTGAAAAGGAAAGTCCATATACTTCTTTTGTGAACATCGGGGTCATGCCTACAAAAATACTCTGAATTTGTCATATCAATAACTTGTTTTCTAGAAAAGAAGAGACCAGTCAAGAAGAAGTACTGAAGTCATTAGGATAAGAAATCAGTCTCTATCACGGAGAAGATCACGCCGTAGCCTACCAAAGTAGCTGTCGTAGATCTGGTACTCCTGGGGCCTGTGTTTACGCAAGGAGCTGAAGTTGGCGATACGTCCAATGGCGGGCTGGGGGGCGGGCCAGTCAGCCTGAAGGGAGGGAAACGAGTTGAGGGGGGAGGGGGGGGAGGGTTAAATTGGATACAGCCTATTTTGCTTGAGGTGCACAGAGTTATATTTAAAAAAGCAAAGGTGGACTTAAGGTTTGCCATAACACTACTCAAAAAGTGAAGAGGACTTAAATATTTCAAACTAAAAAAAGAGCAAACTATTAGAAAAAAAAAGATCAGGGGAAACACATATTTTTAAAAAGAAAGTGTAAGTAAACTTCATTATTTAGAGAAATCAGTGTAGCATAACATAACCTAAAAAACACCCGACAACAAAGCTAATAGGACATTCAAATGTCTATCTGCAAATAAATAAAAATACCTTGAGCTCAGCGTGGTTTCACTACGTACTTTGCCACACAAGCATGCATTTTGAGCAGCACCGTGATGATACAACAAACATCTGTTTCATTTTTTTCTGGGGGGGCGGCATGCATCTGAAATGAGTTCTTCATAACAGAGTTGAGTGAAATATACCGGTAATGAAGAAAAATGTGAAATTTACGGATGAGGGTCAGTTTGTTGATGATTGTACACACATGTGGAAACATAGAAAAATTCATAAAGCTTCAATTAAGTCGAAAAGAGGACTGCATCATCATGGGAGAAGTTGTAAATTAAACATCAACTGCAACAATTCACAGTAGTATATTTTTTTTTCTATTCAAGCAGTTAAAATGATACTAATTTTCTCTCCCAAAATATCCATACAAAGGAAAACATAAAATCTTTGACTGGATTTGTTTAAAAACTCTTGATGCAACCAACGATAGAAATCAAAAGTTCCAACCACTCACGTATTTTTCCTTGATCTTCTGTCTGATCTTGTTGTAGCGGCTGGAGGGAATTCTGCTGGTCAGGTTGCTGTGGTCACCCTACAGGGAAGGAGACAAGAGAGAAATCTTGTTATTAAATATTGAAATAAAGAAAACAGAAGAAAGAAAGATTGGTCCGGTTAACTCACAACAGAAAAGAGAAAGAGGATCTTAATGAGACAGAGAGAATACACAATGAATGGCCGAGAACACATAAGGACATAATTTATACAACAGTCAGTGACTAGGACCAGCAAGTATATTTGAGTATTACAAACTATTCTGAACCAAGAGGTTTTGTGACAGAAATCACTATTTCCTCTGATGCTTTAAGACAATGAGTGTCTCTGTAAAAAGCCTCAGACACTTGCAATAAATAGGAGTAGTTAAGTGAGAGGATCCCTCCCATCCCTTGTTCAGATTTTTCAGTACCAGATGTAGGACCAACAACTGCTACAACAAATGTCACGCTACAAATGCCGGACCACATTGTAGACAAAATCTGTGAAAGCGTTTCTTTCCAGCTTCTTCTTTTATTTATGAACAATAATACCTTGCACATAAAAACAGCCTGCTCATTATTATATAAGCAGAAGTAATTGTTTATACACTTGAATATTCCTCCCAAGATAAATTTCTCAAGAAGCAGCTAAAGCCCGAAGTAGGAGTGGACAAGACACATACAACACCCCGCTCTTTGTCAAAAGCACCCGCAATATTTCGCCATATCATTTACCCATTCACACTAAAGCTTATAGCTCCCTTTACACTGTAAAAAAAACATTACCACTGCCCGCACCCTCCCCCCAAATAAACACACACACACACATACACACATACACACACACACCCTCACACACACACACACACACACACACACAAGACTTCACTTCCCACATACCTTGAGCCAAGGATGTTCCAAGGCATCATGGACAGTCAAACGCTTCCTGGAGACAGAGGGAGAGACAGTCAGTAGTTACTGAGCTGGCTAGGTAGACGTAAAGGTAACAGTATTTGTCAGGTAAAATAACAGTGAACATAAGGGTAACAGTATCTACATCAATGGTAAGCCATCAAAGGTTCCTGTTCTTCAGTTATCCATAAAAACATCTCGCCACAAATCAATAATCTTTCTACAGTTCTTAGCACAAATACATATTATCTTACTAGATAAAATATTTCATTTTCTTATTTCAAATTTCCAAATTTCACTGCATTGACAGTTATAAATACAGCATCAAACTTCTAAATAGAATCCTATTTCACCTATAAGCTAAGCTTTATTTAACTAAGTTAACAATTTCATTTTAACTGTGGACATTAAAAAAAATAATTTGTGTATTTTTATGACATTGTCAAATGGAACAAAGAGGGAGAAAACAAAAAACTTGGTTCTTTCAGCATCAATTCCATCACAAATTATAGATGAAAAACACGATTTTTGTTAGTTTTACTGTTATTTAACACTTTGCGGTCACTTGGCGCTAATGTGCTGGTGAAAATTATCTGTTCTGGTCACCTGGCGCAAGGCCCGAGAAGTCCAATGCAGTCACTCTCCTGGCTGGGTGGCCAGATGGGGTATTTTGTACTGCCGGCTGTGTAACTGCAAAGTGTTAATTTTTCAAAAAGAACAAGAACTGTACCTTGGCTCTTTCTGCAGCAGGTTCTTGATGAAGTCCTTAGCCTCGGGTGACACAGAGGAGAAGGCGTCCTCGTCAAACTCCCAGTCGCATCGCTTCACGTTCTGCAGGGTCTCAAGATCATCTTCCCCAGCGAAGGGAGACAAACCACTCAGCCTAGACGAGGGGGGAGAGAACAGAGAAATAAATAAGTCAACATTTTTTTGTTAATACACATTCTTGTGGGGATTTTTGGTGTGTCTGGTTTTACCCATGTATGATAACTGACAACAACATCAAGGAACAGAACATTGAGGTGAGGAATGTCACAGCATAGTGCCTTTGACCAGTAGTCCACCATTGGAACTGTAAAATTAAATTTCAATCACCTAGTCTGAAAATAGTTTAATAGTGTCCTTTGCACATGATATTATGGAAGCTAAATGTAGCTGTGCATAGAGTGGAGACCCTTTTTGTGTGTACTGGGA